AACTATGGGTAAAATTTTTTTATCTATCATAGATGATCAGGATAATCTAAACCTCCTTTATAGTCTCATAAAACATTCTATTTTATTAAGATAGCAGCTTTTTTGGAACTTGCAGCATTTTTTTTTTTTTGCTTTTTATACTGTTTAGAAGTACAGTTTTGCAACGGAATGGTCTAAGTGTCTTAGCCAGAAGAGCTGTAGGCTCGGGAGCCAAACCTCATCTTTACACTCCCCACAGACATAGCATCAGTACTTCCACACAAGTAAACACACAGCAGCATTCTTAAAATGGTTCTTCTTCATATACGTTTTTTTTTTTTTTTTTTTTTTTAAATTAAAATCGAGAATATCTCCAGGCAGGCCCCACACTCAGCACAGAGCCTGACAGAGGGCTCAATCCTATGACCCTGGGATCACGATCCAAGCCAAATTCAAGAGTTGGACGTTTAACTGACGGAGCCACCCAGACACCCCTTAGAGCACATTTTAGATGAGTGCTCTTATTTGGTCTTCTATAAAAATTAAACTGGAAAAGATTAATGCAGGAGATTTTTAAAAAACTAAGTCCATCTGTGGTAAAAAGGGATAGTCAATTGAACACTAGATTGGACAGAGACCGTTTAGATGCACTAAGAGATGCACATTTGATAGTGGACTCCTGGGTCTTTGCAGTGGTGTTTATGATTAAGTCTTCAAATCCAAGTTCAAGGAGGTAGAACCTGTATCTGGGATAAACTAATCAAAATTCAAGCACATCCATTACAAAGTAATGTTCAGCACTTAATTGCCTAGTAACACACATATATTCAAATATACCACCAAGTCAAACTTGGTTAGCTGTACGTTGGACAAATGCATCTTATGTGGAAGATTCATATATAAATGGCACCAAGATAGTAATTCGGTGTGTATATGGGTAGGAAAACTCCCCAGAAATTCTGCTGTCTCCACTTCTAACGCAACGCTTTGTGCGCTGCAGAATGCTTGTGAGCCACCATCTTCAAGTCTACATACAAAATGTGTGAAGATTCAAAAAGTATGATTTCAACAGCTTAAACTTGCTTGGGAACCATGCCTTCCAAAGTACACAAAAACTAAATCCCCAGTAACTACTTCCCAACACCCTCCCCACAGAGGAAACAAACGTTATAGATGTTTCATTAAGAATACATACACTACTGCCTGCAGGTACGGAGACATTTTCTCATTCCCTCTGCCCCTCTTCCATTTCACCCTTCGGGTCATAGAGTGTAACGTAAATACAAATTCCTTATCAAGGTCGGTTTATGTTCTCTGGCTTTGTCAGTGCTTAAAGAAAAAAATTTCTCCTCACCTCCAAGTTAAGATAGAGTTCTCCCAAGAAGAGTACAAATGCATGGAATCGTTTTCGAGTCACTTCATCCCCCTTTGCAGCTTGATCTTTAACTTCATATTCAGTCCGACACCTAACGAAGACATACCTTTTATAAACTCACATTGCCTTTTTTTTGTGTGAACAAACAAGACGACCATCTGTTAGTTTCACTGTTCAAGCAATACCGAGGTAAGCACAATGACACCAATGCCCGGATTTTTTAGGAAAGGAAGTGTTCCAGTCTATTGCAGAACCCAGAATTTACAACGCTTTTTCATACTAAGGTTCCTCGTTTTAAGAAACGGATGGGTTTATTTTGTCATCTGTTTGTCAACTGTTTAAGCAACATGGGTTTCACGAGGTTCATTGTATATTGGCACCACAAAGAAAAAATGCCTCACCTTGGTCTTCTAGGCTTTTTGTCAAGAAAGCACTGTTTTTACTCAAATTGTCTCTGTAAAATGTTTTACTCTGAACATATGAACTTTAAAAACACATCTTAAAAAATATATAGAGATGGGTCTCCAACTGAAAATAAAATGAATTTTTATTAAGCTCATTATACTTTTAACCTCCATTAAACAAATCAGACAAATGAAAAGTCGCCATTTGAAATTGACATAGAAACAGAAAGCAGTTAATTTGGTCTCAATATCCCAGAGACCAAAAGGAGCCAACTAACTTGGTTTCCCTCACCTTATTCCCCCCCAACCCTGACTTGACCCATCTGCCACCCCAGAAGTTATATAAAACAATCACAACAAACCTGTCATAGCCCATGTCAGTGAATTACGGAGCCAGCTGTTACTAAAAGGATTTTAAAAATATGCTTTAAATGTTTACCAATTTGGTGTTCAATGTTTTTCTTATCTTTCTTGATAAGGTGAAAAAACTCTAGGAAAGTCATGTTTTATAAAGCTGATTTTTGACAGTTATTTTCAGGAAAAAAAGAAGGGTTTATAGAGACTGAATGGCTTCCATGTGTGAGGAATCAGTTTAGCTTGGCTATGTGAAATTAAAAAAAAAAAAAATTCTTAAAAAAAAGTCACTGCTTACCAAAATTTTACCTTGGATCGGTCAATGAATCAACCATAAGCCCAGTACAGTTTATGTCTATGTGGCTTATAGCTCAGAAGCTACATTAAATAAGCAACATTTCATTGAGTCATATTTGTTACGGTCTAAACATTAATTCCTTATCAGAGCAAAAGTTGGGATACCTGGGAGTAAAACACCCTGTTTAATAATGGGAAGGATGGGCTAATTAATGCCAGTTCAGTCATCCAAATACCTTGTTGGCTACTCTCCTTAAGGACTTTATAGGCAGGAGTTTTGAGAAAATGACCTTTTTGTTTTCTAAGTGTAATGACTATTATATTATACATTAAGATATGTTAACACAAATGGAAAGGTAAATCCATACCCCTGGACATCATTGGTAAACTAGAGGAGAAGAACACACACCTCTAATCTTTTTAAGCTAGAGACCTAAATTAAAAGCAATACGTGCTTGTTTCAGAAAGGTTAAAAATAGAAAAACACGAAGAATAAAGTCACTACAACCCAGAGATAATTAAAGGTTAACTTTTCTAAGTATGTTTACATTTTTAAGTTAGGTAATAGAATCAAACTGTGCTTTTCATTTGTTAAGGAATTAGCACTTATATTAATATCTCTGACAGTTATCACAGCACTCTGGAACCTGGGGTAGAGTCAAAAGAGAATTGGAAGAGGTTTTCAACCATGGCTACAGACTACAATCATTTGGAGAGCTTTAAAAAACCAAGGTTCCACCTCAGTCCAATAACGTCCAAATTTCCAAGAATGAGGACAGGGTCTCAGCCTTATTTGAAGTCTCTGGGTAACTCTAAGGCAGTCAGTGGGGAGAGGTTCATGGGAAAAGCAGCCAGCCTTTCTGCCATGCGACCTCCTAGAAGTGCCCACTTTCACCTCTTTCCAGGAGCTATAAATATAGCTTAAGGTTAAATAGGTTTTTAGAATTTTATCATTTATATTTTCCCAGGTTCTACCTATTCAGAGCCATTCCAAATATTTCTATTAAAATATTGTCTTTTTCTTATTCCTCAGAGGCCCTTGTTTTCATATTAAATTAGTTCACTGCCAGTGTTATAAATTCCCCTTTTTCTTCATATAAACTTATGACACTCCCCCCATATTTTAATCTATATGTAATTTCTGTATGTAATTAGATTTAATCTTTTTAGGACTTATGGATAAATCTTACTTAAAAGGGCTTACCAACCCAAGATTTACTTGTTTCTCTTAGCACTTAGTGTTTCACTTTTAAGTCTTTTACAGATTTGAAATATACTGTGGTGTACAGTGAGACAAGGACCCACCTTTTCTCTCCCCATGAATGGCTAGCCAGTTGTAAGCAGCACAATTTACTTTCTACAAATATATCTGAAGTATCACCTTCATCAAAAGCTTAATTTTCAAGTGTCTCTGGAGTAGACTTTTGGAACCTTTATTCTGTTTCAGTGCAATTTAACCCAATGATGGGATACTTTGCAACCATTAAAAGTATCTTCAAAGAACTAATGGACTAACTGTAATAAACTTGAAGACAACCTTCTTCTTGAATAAAACAACTCCAAGAAAAGGTTTCCCTAAATTAGCTTAGGAATTCAAAGTCATGCCAAAAAGATCTAATAATACACCCAAAAGATTTATGTAATTTCACATGTTGATTCTAAAGTTCTTTGGAGAAAAGACATATGCAAGAATAGCAAAGGAAATTCTACCCAAAAACTATGGGGAGGGGACTAATCTACTAGGTATTAACAAATTAGAGCTTTTCAATAGTATCATAATAAAATAGAAATAGAGCAAGTGATACATGGAATATAATGAACCTCTAGAACCAAAACCCAAATATTAGGATGTAGTTTAAGAAAGTTAGCAGTTCATATCAGTAAGGAAATGATCATTCTAAAAAAATGGTAGGGGTAAAACTAGTTCTGTACTAGTTGAGCACCTACTCAAACGTACAGAAGTACGAAGAAGTATCTAAGTGATCATCTTTAAGATACTGGAAAATGAAGGGCCATCTAAGCACAAAACCAAAGGCAGACATTACAGAAAAAAGACTGATATGTGGGACTATGAATTTTTAATAGTACATACTATACTCTGATACAAGTAAGAATGGTCCACCCTAACTTCCCCTGCAACTTTCTATAACGCAAGAAAAGAAGAATGGTCAAATTCTAGTAGGTTTCAAGTTTTCCTTTAATTTCATATATTCACACTGACCTTTGAAGCAGCAACTGGCGAAAGTTGCCACTCTGTGGACTAATTGTCAGATGATGGGACAGGTAATTACACAGGCGAGCTCCCATGTAAGAGAAATTTGGGATAGATGTGGCCTTTCAAAAAGAAAAAAAAAAGTTGTTTATGACATAAATACATTGTTATTAATGCAAATACTTAACAGCAACATTCTAAAAAAGAAACATTTTCACCCCTAAAACTGACATTATACAAGTGTACAAGTCTTTAATTGATCAGTATAAGGAAATTAACTCTCCCACCCAATACCAAGAGCAAGAACAAAGGAAAGTGTTTAAGGCAAGTTCTCCCCACAATTTACTTGAGGTTACCAGAAAGCTAATTAACAGGGTCTCTTTATATTAGCCAATTTTTGCACAGGATGTATGCAAGTGCCCAGTTGCGCAGTGCTAATTATGAATAAGAGTATTTGCCAAACGATTGTTTCATGGGGTTTTTCAGGGACAGGATGGCACAGACTTTGGCATCTAGCAGCCTAAAATAAAATTCCCAGGACTGCATGGAGACCTTGGACATCTCGAACCTTCCCTGGGCTTCTGCTTGATTCCTAGGAGAGGTGATAAATGGTACCTGGTATAAGAGATTAACACTTAAAGAATACTCCAAACACACTTGGGGTGTAAAGAAATAAAGAGAAGCTCTTCCAAAAACTAAGATTGTGAAAAACACGATGTACAGAAGACAGATTGATACAGCTGAAGCAGTACTAAGTTTTAACTTTAATTACAGTTTTTAAAGTATAGTAGAGACAACATAGTTTACTACTTAATATTAGGGAACACATTAAAAGATTAAGGGACTCGACCAAGGTTACAAAGGTAATAACTAACCAGAGTCTAGATGTAACAGATGATCTGATGCCTCTCTGACCTGATGCTTTTGAGTTACAGTAAGTTTTAGACACATCACTTAACTTCTGCTAAGATGTGTATAAAATAAGGGAGAAAAATAATACCTTGCAACCATGGAGGATTAAATGAGTTAATTCATTACATGTTAAGTGTTTACCATGGCATAGCATGTAGTAATTATGTTATAATTAGATCTTTTTATTTCTAATTATTTCGTTGCTCACAAGGGACCCCTGTTATCACAGCAGACTGGTTCCTCCTGAGATCATGTATGCATATCTGGTACCACAGAAGACTTGAAATTAAGAAATCCTACTTTTCCCCATTATGGACATTGCCTGTTTTCCTTTAGTTTACTTTTAAAATCATCTCACACAACTTAAAAGACAAGAAGCTCTCCAAGACTTGTTACTAAAACATCATACTTCCCCACTATCCCTCACCTTTACCCTCCCACAGACAACCACTTTCAATTCTTTCAGCTGAAAAGGTTTCAACCTCTGTATCTCCATGCTCCAAGATTTCAGTTTAGTCATTATTTCTTACGGTTTCCCACCATGGAAAAGGAATATCCAGTTTTCACCATGCTTAACCCCACTCCATTCTGCGGTTTCCCAATCTTTCCACCTACCAATGTCATTATACCATGATTTGATTAGTTTTGGGTTTCCATTTACAGCAGGAACACATAATATACAGATTTCTCCTTTGCTATACAACTTTGTTTTCCTTGGACTTAATTTTTTCTACACTGTTCTTTACATAGGTCTCATTTGATTTACCGCTAAGCTCACACATTTTTAAGTTTCTTCTTAACATCTTCAAACAGAGCAGCCATGCTCATCTTACCAGGAATCGTGGCCAGAGCCTTCTGCCCTATGCCAGCGAAGCCTGGCAATCATCTCGGGATCTCCTTCACCACCACCTGGATGATCCACTTAGCCGCTCCTCTTAAATGCTGTTTTCCTAGTTTCTACCTCTTTGGCCTTGGCTTAATTCTTTTTGGCGGAGTACTTCCCTTCAATAACTCAAGAGGGGTTACAATAAAACTTCAAACTGGATACTCAGTGCAAAAAGAGGGAGAGGGATTTTTGTTTTAAGAATTTGTAAGCAATCTTTTCCATCTCATTCCATCCTTGTCCTAGAGCCTTCCCAAGGCTCTACTCAGTACATCAGGGGATTTTCAGCTTTCCTCAATGGCTTGGAATTCAACTTTTTTAGATTGCCAAGTCAGTTACCACTCACCCACCTACTTTCCAGTCTCCAAAGCTGGTACTTTTAACTCCTTTCCTCATCTCAGTCCCTACAGGCTCATGGCTTCTTAAAAATCCTGTCATTTTAGCAGTATTGGGGGAAGAATCAAAGTTGAACATGTAGGTTTGATCTGCCATTTTTATAACAGCTCTTCTGTTACTATAAACAAATTCCCCTCAATGAAATTTAAAAGCAAGTAAAATCTGTGTATCATTGACACAGAATATCAAGCTTAAAATAAGGAATATATAGTCAAAGAATTGGCTTTGAGACAATCACAGAAATTGTAGTCTGTCAGGTTATAGTCCTTTTGTCCAGCCCTATGGAAACAGGCAGCCTATGAAGAACCAGGCAGCCTATGAAGTGCTGAAACTAGAACAGAAGAGGAACCAGAAAAAACAATTTCAATTTTTCCATTTTCTTCTATCCTTTGAAATACACCTAGAGGCCAAAAGTAGGTATGAGGATAAATAGAGCAATTAAATCTTCCTAAAATCTCAGGCATGTCCCAAACCTGAGAGTTGGCCAGGTAATGGGTCCACGAACTACTCTGAAAAAGTTGTAAAAGTAATCAAGTGAAACTCTGAGTAGGAGGAAAATTATCCAGCCATCATGATCACTCTTCCATATACTCCAAATTCAAGTTGCTCTTTCAGCAATGACTTAAATAACACTCGAGTTTATATTTCTATTCACCTCCCACTGTTTTTGGTCAGTTTCAAACATTGCCCTTAAATTAGTCTTCAAAATCCAGTGTTATCTATTTGCCCCCCTTAAAATAGCATTGATGTATCATTGATCAATATGCTAGGATCAAAACTAATCTTTGTGTGAACAATCTAGAATTATAGAATTAAGATGCAAATCCTTGGAAATTTTAGATATAAGCATTAATGTTAAGACTCAAAAACAGTGCTTTATGGGTGGGGTTTTTTTTTGTTTTTGTTTTTGTTTTTTTGACTCCTTTAGGAGGCAAGAAAGTTCTCCCTGGATTTTCTTCTCCCTTAATCCAAAAGTGCTATGTAGGAATTCAACACCCAGAAGAAAAGAACTATGGTTAATTTCAGATCCTAGAACAACAGAGCAGGATGGAAAAAAGGTAGGACATTTACCTAGCCTTCTTCATAAATGCCTAACACTCCTTCCAACTGCCTATATAGAGCCTTCAATCTCCAGTCTGGCTCTAGCTCTATCCCCACTACAGGGATTTTATACAACAGACCTGAAAAGCTCCCATGAACCTTAAAGAGTTAAGGAGTGTGGAAGCCAGGAAACATGAACCTGGCCTCACTGAAGGAGCAACACCACCCTTGGGCTTCAAGCTAGCTATATGAGGATTATGCGTGCCATCAGCCAACCTACCTGTTGATAGATGAGTTCTACAAGTTCTTGCAAAGCATCATCTGTTGTAACCCAGCCATTCAGGGTCTCTGCAAACTGTTCAATTTCAGTTTCAAAACTGCCAGGCTGCTCTGTAAGATGATTCAAAAAATCCTGAACATATTCTGAGAGAGTGGGATAATCCTCACAACCATCTTCATAGGATTCCTATAGATCAAAAGTTAAAAAACAAACAAAAAAACATGTTTTAGTCCTTGCAGTTGGCTAAAATAAATCTGAGGCAGCTTTAAGGTGAGAAGTCTCTAGAACAAATGATCCTTCACATAAACTTTGTTATTTTCTTCAGCAAAATTAAATCCACTGAACTATTCCTTCTGCCCCAATGGCCAAAAGTGTTACATTATAGCAGAAAGACTCCATCTAACTGGGTGGGAAATGGTCTTCTCATCCCTAGCAGATTTACAAAATGGTTGAGAAAATTTAAACTAGTATTTTACTATAATGCCAGTTATCAAAATTAAGACTTTGATCTACTTATGGGAACAAGATCTGAGATTTGCTTCAAAGTGGGAAGGGAGAAGGGACCAGGGATAGAGAGAAGTAAGAATGGCCACAGGTCGGGGCGCCTGGGTGGCTTAGTCGGTTAAGTGTCTGACTTTCGCTTAGGTCATGATCTCGCAGTTCGTGGGTTCGAGCCCCGCGTCGGGCTCTGTGCTGACTGCCAGCTAAGAGCCTGGAGCCTGTTTCAGAGTCTGTGTCTCCCTCTCTCTGACCCTCCCCTGCTCATGCGGTCTCTCTCTCTCCTAGAAATAAATAAAAATATTTAAAAAAAAAAAAAAAAAAAAAAAGAATGGCCACAGGTAGCTAACTGTTGAGGCTGTGATGGGGGTAGAGATCATCACTCTCTCATTCTTACAGATATTTAACAATTTATATATTGAAAAAAGGACCCAGTTAAGGTCTATCCTCTGTTAATTCCCAAGGACAGAGAAATATATAGTTAAGGGATATAAAATTTCACCATAGTGGAACTGTGGCAGACTTGGGCTGCTATATATCCAGGCTTTTAGTCATCCCTGACAGTAGCAGTAGTTTCCAACTAATGTTTTACCACTATCACCTTTGATAGGTTCCAATCTTTTAATTAATGGCAGGAGGCTGAACACAGGGGGTACTGCAAAAGGTAGCATATCAGATTATCAATCGGATACTTGCAATGCTTAGAATACCAACCAAAGCATTCTGAAATTTGCTAAAGAGTTACGAATGATCTAATAAGAACTATATTGCTAGTGAAACTTACCCTTTCCCAAAAAGGAGTCAAATGAGAAACCACATGAAAGAATCAGGACAATACAGAAGCATTTTATGAAGGAGTTAAGTTCTAAAGCCAGTGAGTGCATAAAGAAAAAAAAAAAAAAATCACACGCAGTCCAAATTCTCCTTAGGAAAGCTCTATGTTAAAGATGAACAACTAAGCTTAGTGAAAGGGCTACTACAGCCAGTTGGTCCTCTGCTACTGGTGCCAACCACCACTCAGAGGCCATGGTACATAATTTTTCTGTATTTTCAGATATTAAAGTGATACTAAACATTAGTTGTATGTACTACGAGAAGCACTAAGGGAGGAAAACCAACTGCAGGAATAACAGATTCACGTGCCCATATCATGCTCATAGTGTTTGTTGAGCAGAAGAATAGGTAAACTGATACGTTAAATGAATCAAAATTGAATCCAAATTAAAGGACTCCCCTTTAGGGGCGCCTGGATGGCTCAGTCCGTAGAGACTGATTTTAGGGTCAGGAGTTCTAGGACCACGTTGGGTACAGAGATTAGTTAAAAAATAAAATTTTAGGGGTGCCTGGGTGGCTCAGTCAGTTAAGCTGCCCAATTTGGCTCAAGTCATGATGTTGCAGTTCAGGAGTTCGAGCCCCATGTTGGGCTCTGGGCTGACAGCTCAAAACCTGGAGCCTGCTTCAGATTCTGTGTCTCCCTCTGTCCCTCCCCTGCCCATACTCTATCAAAAATAAAAACATCTTAACAAGTTTAAGACTTTAAAAATGACTCTAAAATAAAGAGGTTAAATTAACACTGATGAAATTCAAATTTATTCATCATAAACACTACACTTCTATGACTGAGGATTAAATGAGTTAATGAGTAAATGCCCCTAGACCTGTGACTAGCACATAGTAAGGCATTAACTGTTCAGCAAATTTCTACATTTCTGGGAAAACACTAAAACATATTCCAAATGCCACAGCCATGTTCTCATACCTAAAGAATCACACCTAAAAGCATCTAAAGAACAGAATAAAAGTCTATACTTCTTGATATGTAAGATGATGCCCGATTAATAAGCTATGTATAATATGCGACAGACACTATAAGAGCTCTGCAAGCTTGTCTCACTTAACCCTAAAAAACTTGGCACAGATGGAAGAAATGAACACAGAGCAGTTAAGTCACCTTGGTTATTCATTCAAAAGCATTTACTGTGGAGTTCCTACTAAGTGCCATACAGTGTTTTAGGTGCTAGGGCTACGGTCTTGGCATGAACAAAGGAGACAAAGTCCTCTTCCAGTGAGGCTTATCTCCCACCATGGAGGACATCATTCATATGTTAGAATATACTATGAAAAAAGGTGGGCTAAAACTAATGTATCACTGTATGTTAACTACATTGGAATGAAAAAAAAAAAAAAGGAAGCATTCTCAAGAGTTAACATCTCATTTGAAGATGAAAAGAACAAAATAAACCCAGCCATACAAATTTCTGAGGCTTAGAAGGCTTACAAAGCACACAGGCCCCAGGGCGCCTGGGTGACTCAGTCAGTTGGACATCAGACTGTTCAGGAGTTTGAGCCCTACATCGGGTGGAACAGAGGCCACTCCAGATCCTCTGTATCCCCCCTCCCCTGCTCTTGTTCTCAGATATTTAAAAAAACAAAACAAAACAAAACACATAGGCCCCAAGGCGATAGGTGCTTATCTGATACCTTTGAGAAAAAAAAGACAGGACAGACACTGAAGGTGAGGCAATAGCTAAGATCAACGAGGCAGACGGGAAATCATGTAGGATCTTGGGGACTACACCAAGACTGGCTTGAAAGCCAGTGGAAAAACCACTGGGCAAAGAGTTTGAACAAGCAGAGACCACGTACCAACTTAATTGGTGTGGTCATACAGCTAGTTAGAAGAACTGAGCACAGGACAAACCCTGTGTAACCTCTCTGCTACACTCCAAGGAACGGACAAAGGCTTTAAAACCCAACTCTGACACACGTACAAGAATATTCTTTGCCAAAAATCCATCTAACAATTAACAAAACTTGTTAAATATACCATCTTATATCCACATAATAGATCAAATAGCCACTTAAAGATTTACATCTATTAATACAGAAATCACTAATATGTTTTAAACGCAAACAACAGAACCATATTTTAGTACAGCTTAATTTTAAGAGATTTACAGACAATGAGAATTTCTGGAAAGATAGACAAAGATAACAGTGGTTACCTCCGGAGTCCATGAATGTTCATATTATAAATATTGACCATTTTTTAGAAGACTGTGAAAGCAGTTAAGCATTATAAATGCATACATTAATTACACTTAATCTTAGCTACATATATGGGAGTTTTACATTAAAAACACTTGCATCTATGGAGTTTTACAGACGTGGAGTGTCCTGTTACTACTGACAAAGAAAAGCAGGAAGCCTACAGGTCCTAGCTGAAGGTATTCCTTTCTGGGTTCTATCAAACATCACTCGTTGTGGCAAAAATGCAGTCTCAAAGACTGATTTCCGGTCTTCTACGGAAGCAGAACTCTTTTAAGACAGCCCGAAGTCTTAAAGTAAAGAAAGGAGAGTAGCGCTACTCTGATTATAAGCATTACAGGGGACAGGTTCAGAGGCTGCAGTTTCAAGCAAATAAGGAAGCACAGAGTATTCTGGACAAACCAACACTCCGACGTGTTTGCATGATTTCTCTAGTGCCAGATTTTTAAGTACAAATTTCATCAGTCTTCAATGTAGAGTTAAATGATTTTCAAGCTGAAGGATGAAGTTTTATTTCTCTTAGAATTCTGTACCAAGAAATCAGGGGGGATATCAGTTAGAAAACGCACTTTTCATGGAAGATACTTTGCATGCACTGATAGAGAGAAGACCATAATCCAAAGCAGCAAGAATAAAAGGGAACTGATCAGACACCTAGGCAGTGGCACAATCAAAACTACTTTAGTTTGAAGGGAGCAAGAGAAAGAGAAACAGGAGTCAATATACCATTTTTAGCCTGAGCAGCTAGTTAGAATATAAAAAAAATAAGAGGTTTGCAGAAAATAAATTTTTTTATACTGAAGTTTCAATGTGAGATCCTCATGAACAAGTCAAAACAGAAACAAAAGCCAGAAGTTCAGAGGAAGAATTAGATTTCAGTATCAGTAGACAGATAGGCAATGGTCAGATTCTAAGTGATAGGAAGGATCACCAAAGGCAGGCAATAAAATGGGGGGGGGGAGGGGAGAAGTTCAGGGACTACTGTCTGGGAAAAGGAATGATCTGCAAATTGGAAGGATGAAGAAAGGTACCGCCACAGTGGCCAAAGGAAAAAAGGGTGTTCAATAGATGCAAATGCTACAGAATAATCTTAGAAGGGGACATCTGAAAGAACCATGGTTGCAGTCTTGGGAGTGAGACTATGCACAGAGGGAAAAGTTAAAATCACTACCGCAAATATTCCATTCTTATAAGAATAAGAGGAATTTCTAGAAGACTGAAAAGGTACCCTTGGACCCTAGCACAAGACTAGACACACTGGGACTTGTTAAACCGCACAGATCATGCTGTGGTCAAGGTCTACAAAGATGAGGGTTGAGGACAATAGATTTAGGGGTCCCTGGGTGGCTCAGTTGGTTAAGAATCTGACTCTCAAATTCGGCTCATCATGATCTCCTGGTTCGCGAGATGGAGCCCCACATCAGGCTCTGCACTGACAGCATGGAGCCGGCTTAGGATTCTCTCTCTGCCCTTCCTTCCCTCATGCTCTCAAGATTAGATAGATATAGATAGATAAATAGAGGACAATATATTTTAAAACCCAAAGAGCATCACTGAAGGTCACAAAAATAGTAACAAATCAAATAGAGGGATCAGCCTATAGAGGTTTGATCAGTGAGAAGTAAAATAGTATCAACTGTGAATAAATTTACATTTAGGAGAACATCACTATTGAAAGGCAGAAGACAGTAACTTAAGGGGAACATTCTTAGAAGAAAGATGGGGATGGGGTGGTGAAGACTGTTGTTTTTTAATAAATGCTTTGTGAATTCCTATGTAGAATTTTTGGTTCTCCTAAGTGAGCTGTGATTAAATATTCAAGATGAAATGGTTGATCTAAAAAGACGCAGTGACCAGGAGTAGACAGATTTAACAACTCCCTAGGAGGAAGGCACAGAAAGCAGGAAATTCTAGCAGTGGGATTGGAGGAAGGACTCAAGGATAAAAGAGTTCAGAATCTTGGCAGGGTTCTTGGCAGAAAGCACAACAAGAGACTATCAAAGGGTTTTAGAAAAAAGTATGAATAGTTATGAACAGATCCAGTTCAAAGATACCCTTATTTTCAAGCATATCAAAGCAGACTTAAGGCATTTCTGTCCATTTTGTTTACTGCTGTATCCCTAGTGCTTGACTCACAGTAAGAATCCAACTATCTGTTGAATGAGTGAGTGAATATAGCTAACTTTGGATTATGGCTACTGTAAAGAGACCCTCACAAGACCCTATCCTAAGAGTCAGGGAAAAACCAAGGATACTGCTGTTCTGTGACTAAGCAGAGGAAAAATGCCTACCTTTGACAGAGGATAAAAGGGTAAATGAGGAAGACTAGGGAATGCACCAGAGCAGCGGTAGCAAGCTTGAAGGATTATGGAATTGAGGTGGATTACAAACAAGGCAAGCCAATGAGCAATTAGAGGTCACACATTCCATCTAAGGGGCTGCCTCCATTCAGCTGCAGACAATTTTTGCTCTATCAGAGTAACAGTCTGGTACAATCACATCTTATGATTTCAGGAGAAACCAGAAAATTCAGATTTCCAACATCTAACTTAAGTACTGGTTGCTAATTAAACTGGCCCTTTTAAAAAAAAAATAAAGGAAAAACACTGCAGGCCAAAGACAACACACCTGCAGGCCACACACGAGCCATGGGCTTTCAGTTTACAATCTGTTCCAGCCAACTGAGCATAGAAGAAACTGACCTAATAAAGGATATCAAGGAATGCCTAACAGGGGACAAGGGCCCAAAATAAGTGGACCGACATGGCTCTGTAGCCCAGGACTCAAACTATGCAGAACTATGTAAACTAGATGGTATAGAACTCTGGGGGGAAAAAAAAATGCATCTCTATCATAAAATGGTCCAAGTCAATAAGGAGACATATGGGAAACAGTTCATGGCTGTCTGAAAGAAAGTACTCTTTAAGAGTTTATTCAACTACTCACAGCTTTCCAATGGTTACTTTCCTCTCTGAGCCAAACACATCTTTGGGGCAAGAATCCAAGCTGTTCTTTCTTCTATTTTACATGACTGATATCAAATCAACAGCTCTTCCAAATGCCTATCGTTTCCCCTTCCCAGCCCCAAAGTTTTTTTGTTTTTTTTTTTTTAAAGTTTATTTATTTTGAGAGAGACAGAGCACAAGTGGAAGGGCAGAGAGGAAGAAGCTCAAGCAAGCCCCTTGCTGTCAGCGAAGAGCCCATGTGGAGCTCAGCTCATGAACCAGGAGATCATGACCAGAACCAAAAATCAAGAGTCTGCCACTCAACTGACTGAGCCGCCCAGATGCCCACCAAAGCTTTTTCCTACAGCAGTCTCAGATGCATGAAGTTTCTAAAACATGGGGTAGTTTTTCCACGTCTTTTCTATAAAATATGGAAGGAAAGCACTGCCCCCGACTCAAGAAGCAACAAAACAGGTGTGCCGTTAGTTATCAGGTAAACACAAATTAAACCACAAGTAGTGGGGCGCCTGGATGGGGCTCAGTGGGTTAAGTATCCAACTTCAGCTCAGGTCATGATCTCACAGTTCAGAAGAGGCCCACACCGGGCTCTGTGCTGACAGTGCGGAGCCTGGAGCCTACTTCAAGTTCTCGGTCTCCCTATATCGGTCTCTGCCCCTCCCCTGCTTACACACCCGCTCTCTCCCAAAATAAGTAAACATTAAAATTTAATAAAAATAAATAACCACAAGAGGATACCACATACCCACCAAACTTAAAAAATAGAAATTTCCAAATGCTGACAAGGAAGCAGAGCAAGTGGAAATCACATACTACATACATTGGAGCAGTCTCTGGAAAACTATTTGGAAATCTCCATTAAAGTTGGCTACTGGGGCACCTGGCTGGTTCTTTTGGTAAAGCATAAAACTGTTGATCTTGGGGTGGACTTCAAACTCCATGCTGGGTGAGATTATTTAAAATCTTTGGGGGGAAAAATGAGTTGCTACCCTATGTCCTTGCAATTCCACTACGTACCCATGGGTAGAATAGCAGCCCTATTTACAACAGCCCCAAAGTGGAAGCAATTAAATGTTTATAAAGAGACAAAGGGAAACAGGTGCCTGGCTGGCTCAGTCGGTAGAGCATACAACTCTTGATTTCAGCTCGGGGTCGTGAGTTCAAGCCCCACGCTAGGGATGAAGGTTCCTTAAGATTAAAAAAAATTTTATAAGAAAAAAAGGAAATAAAACGTTAAAACAAAAACAGACAAATGGGACTGTGGTATAGTCTCACAATAGAATGCTAGATTAAGTCACCTTCAATTACAAGCTCCAACATGGATTAACTTGAATGTGGAAAAGTGAAAAACCTCTTCTGTATAAATCTATGTACTTTGAAAACAGGCAAAACTTGGAAGTCAAAACAGTAGTTAACCTAGGAGAGCAGTAATGATTAGGAGGGGACATAGGGAGCTTTGGGGAGGTTAATGTTCCTTTTCTTGATTTGGATGCTAGTTGCTTAAGTGTTCATTTTGTGAAACGTTGAGCTAACCTTTATGTACACTATTCTCGGTTAAATACCATTAAAACTAAAATTAGGAAAAGAGAAGACTTCTGCTAAAGTATTTTTTTTTTAAGCCTCTAATGGTTCCTGCCCCACTTATCTACAATCAATTGCTATGCATTTACCCAGGACATATTCCCAACTGTGCTTTGTGTTTTCTCCCACTTAAAGTGAGATCAATTTTTTTAAGTTATCATAGACAAAAATGAATCTGAAAGTTTAAAAGTTCTTCATACTTGTGTAAATACTTTATCAAAACCTCCTATATTTCTTATTAATTAGAACCAGAAACGCTTCTGTTTTTACAGAGTCCAGATGTGGAACATTCAAAAAACCTACCTCAAATGAGTCTCCAACAAAACCATGGTTTAATTTACCCTAAACTGCCAACAAATATTCAGCTATATTGCTAAAATCCAATTTAAAGTCAGCTTTGCTAGGCCATTCTGTAGATTGTTCACTTAGTCTGGACATAAAATTTTTTTAATGTAGTTTTTTTAATTTAATGTTTATCTTTGAGAAAGAAGAGTGAGCGAGTGAGCACATGCAAGCAGGAGAAAGAGGGGGTGACAGAGGATCTGAAGCCAGCTCTGTGCTAGAACTCACCAACCTGAGCAGAAGTCAGAGGCTTAACCCGCTGAGCAGCCCAGGCAGCCCCTGGACACAAGTTTCAGTTTTATGTATTGAAAGTGCCTTAACTATACCCTTTACTAGGCTAGAAATACTCTATAGATACTGGGAATACAGTGAAGAGAGGTCTACTCTCAATTTGTACGGATCTTTTGAACACCACAAACCACAAAATACATTCCTGAATCTGTTTGGTTTCCTCCAGACTTTAAAGAATTCATAACGTTTTTACGTGCAGTAGAAAGTTCCAGCATACTGATTAATGCCATACCGTAATAATCACGTTATTTCAGTAATATTAATCCAGAATGGTAGTAAAAAGGGATACTTACTGTATAATTAGAAGAATAACCTGATGGGTAAAATTCAGGAGCGTTCACAGACAGCTTGGACATCAATACAGGAGCTACAACCACCTGGGGTTTAGCCATTGCTGACTCCAAGTTTTGCTGTGCGATATTATCCTGTGAACTAGGTGGAGCTCTGAGGGGCCTCGTTTGCTCTGAGGAAAGAAAAACGAGGTGTTAAGATGCGTTCAATCCTTTGTATAACAACTTACTTTCTCCTGAAACGCCACAGGCGGAGGGCTGGTTTTTAAGAGTTAAACAAGAACCATCACGAATTTTAAGGTTATCGCCAGGATGTATACAGAAAGCCTGCAGAAAAGAACAATAGACTTGCTTTAGCTCACTGATGGCCATACCTGCCTCCTAAATGCGTGAGGGCTTTCTTTTATCCTTTTTCCGTTTGTAAGGAGTTAAAAGAGGTGGTTGCACGCCTACGGTCTGCCTTTCCAGGGCTGGGAAGGGGGAGGCGATTTTTTACTTCCTCCCCGGACCGCACAACTCAGAGACCGCGCACTGGGCCCCTCCCCCAGCCGGGGCGCACAAAGGATTCAGGCAGCCACCTTCCAAACCTCGTTCCAGGCCCGTCCCCACCCCGGAGCAACCGGGCCCCTCGGGGAATGCTTTCGGGGAACGTGGGGGTTGGGGGGGGATAAGAAGGAAAAAGAGCGCGGGCCTTGCCGCGCGCCGAGGGCCGTGGGGAAGCGTTGGCCCAGGAGGACAGGGTCCCCTAGAGCGGCTCCGTACCTGGGAGCGCCCCGGGCCGGGGAGGCCTCTGGGGGCCGGCGGGGACCTCGCACTGGGCCCCTGGCGGCGGGGCCGTCCTGGGCTGGCGCAGCGGCGGCGGCTGCAGGAAGCCCGGGGCTTTGGGCTGCGGCGGCGGCTGGTGCCGCGGCCGCTCAGCAGCCCCAGCTCCGTTCGGGAAACCGCCGCCCTCAGGCCCGCCCCCTCCGCGGCCCAGGCCCCGGCTCCGGCCCCGACCAGCACCTGGGGCCCGATCGAAACCGTCCGACATGCTCCTCCTCCTCCTCCTCCTCCGCCGGGGGCCGCTGCCGCTGCGCTCGGGAGAGGACGCGGGGGGAGGCGCCGCGGGCCGGCTCTCGCCGCCGCGCTCACTCGGGCCTCATGGAGGAGGAGGGCTGCGGGCCTCTGCTCGGTTCCTCGGCGCTTCGGGCAGAGCGGACGGCAGCTGGAGCACCCGCCGAAGCCGCCGCTCCAGAGCGCCCGCCCCCCGCGGCTGCCCTCCGCTTTCCGATTCTCCCCAAAACACGGCTCCCCCGCCTTCGGCGCGGCGGGGGCGAAGGCGGGTCACAGCGGCCCCCCGCGGCCCGGAGGCCCCTGGCGCGTCCTCCGTGTCTGCTGCGGTCCGTGGCGGGATGGCAGCCGCGGCCCAGCAGGCCGCTCGGCGAGCGGCGTCCCGGCCGCCGGACAGCGCTGCCCGCCGCGGGGACCCGGCGAGGGCATCTCGGCCGCCCCCCTTCTCCCGGGCCGGCCGAGCCGAGAGCAGAGAGGGGTGCTTACCCTAGGCGGGCCTGACCTACGCGGTGGCTCTCAGGAGAGAAGTGCGAGAATGACGGTTGATGCCAGGAAAATAAAAATACGGGGGGAGGGGGCGTGGAGGCAGAGCCAGGGTTCGCGGGCGCGCACCTCCGCGGGCGCGCAGGTGTGCTCAATGACCCGGCGCCGGCCGGCCCCAGGACAGCCGGGAAGGGCCGCTCCGCGGGAAGCTCCGCCACCTGTCGGGTCCGCCGCGGAGGAGGAGGGACACCATCAAAATGCACCTCTCTCTCCCCCCGCCCCTTTCAACTCACAGGAGGTGTTTATCAGAGTAGGTCCTACCTACTGTGTCCGGGCTTCAGTCTTCTCCCTTTTCTCTTCCCGTCCAGAAAGATTCAGAAAATGCACCACCTTTCAATGAAATTCCTCTCTTTTTCGTCCAATAAAAATAAAGCGCGAGCACAAATGCAAGCCACTTATGTAATTACAAATTTTCTAGAAGCCACATTAACGAGGTAAAAAAACAGGTGAAGTTATTTTTAAGAATCTATTTTACTTTCCCCAATATATCCAAAATGGTACCATTTCGACATGTAACTAATCCAAAATATATTAATGAAATGTTTTCCCTTTTCTCGTACTCATTAAAACACAACGTGTATTTTACACTTTCAGCAAATCTCCGTTGGGATAAGGCACGTTTCACGTGTTGAGTAGGTACATGTGGCTAGTGGCTACTGCATCCCACAGCAAAGCTCTAGACGCTTTTTATGTGTAAATTATTGTTTTTGTCAGGTCTGGTGCTGTGAAAGCCAAATGAAGAATGAGTGTAAGTAATGAAAAGGAGAAAAAATTCATTTCTTTACTGTTACACTGAAATATCCTCAGAAACTCTGATTGTAGCCTTTTATATTAAGCCAGCCTTAAGGTTTTTCAATCATGACATCTTGAGAATCATTTCAATTAGGAACAAAACTCTTATTAACCATTTTCTCTTCTTACTGATAAAAACAATATATCTTCACCCAAATGAGTGAGAAGAATGGCTTTAATGACGCCAGTCATAAATAAATGATTCATGCTGTTGATTGTTGGCAAAAATTGAAAGGAAGGAGGCCAACGTTCCTGGTTCCTTGGTGTAGTGAAAGAATGTAGGATTCAAAGTGGGCCAGAGCTTGGTTTAGATCCTGGCCTTGACTGTTAAAGCCTGTGTGATCCTAGGTAAGCTAGGGACTTAGCTTCTCTGAGCCTCGTTTTCCTCATCTTTAAAGTAAGTATGTTGTAGCACTGAGCATTTATTACAAAGACAAGATTGCAGTGTAAAAATTCGACGGGGTAATATCACACTAAAATCCATTCTTTTATGTAGCAGTCACTTTTTTCCTTAAAAATTTTTTTTTGTTTTATTTATTTCTGAGAGAGAGACAGCATGAGCAGGGGAGGCTCAGAGAGAGAGGGAGACACAGAATCTGAAACAGGCTGTAGGCACAGAGCCCAACACAGGGCTTGAACCCACAAACCATGAGATCATGACCTGAGCCAAAGACAGACGCTTAACGAATTGAGCCACCCAGACGCCCCATGGTCAGTCACTTCTTACTTCGTTGTTCTACAGGAACAACTCAGAAACTACTCCAAAACAGAGTGAGTTATCTGAATGTTTCACTAAGTAGATGCCTTCATCCTGTGCCAGGCTTCTGTTGGCATTCATTGCCCTGTTGTTCCCCTTAGAACTTTAATGATGGCTAGCACTTTTTTTTACACCTGAGACATTCTTATCTGAGAGTAAGGCTACTCTGCATCCATGGTGACATCAGGGTATCTTTACAGGGTATCTTTAATTGAGATGTTATCCTGTACCTTCTCCCTATTTACTGTTGTGTAACTTTAGCCCTATTCTTAGGAGATATGAACGGTGGACTTAGAGATAACAGGGATGGATTTAGCTTCATCATAATAACAATAGATGATATTAGTATTTGCCAGCCATCTTTTCAAGAGCTTTACTTTTATCATTTTATTTAATCCTCACATCCTATGAGACAGCCATTCCACTTACCCCCATTTTACAGAAAAGGTGCCAAGTTATTAAAAGGACTGTATCCATCTGGGGACTCTTGTAAGGCTAAGTAGCAGGCGATAGGTATTGCAAAACACTAAGAGGTCAGGGGCACCTGGCTGGCTCAGTTGGTAAAGCATGCAACTCTTGATTTTGGGGTTGTGAGTTTGAGCTCCACATTGAGAGTAGATGCTACTTGTTAAAAAAAATGGCCAAGAGGCCACAGACACACAAACATGAGCACCATGTAGGACTCTGGAGAGAATCATCAGAAATGCTCCTCCATATTTATGCCTTCTTATTGATTTATGAGGATAGGGCTACATTTGGAGAGGCTGGAAAATATGTTGTAATGTGGGAAAAGAACCTGCTGTAAAAATTGGAAAGGATTTGTTTCCTTAAGCTGGGTTTGAAAGACCTTTTCCAGAAGACTTCCCCAAGCTTTCTAATCTTAGATGTTTCCCTTATGATAGTTGTACTTTGGAAAAATTGTATCTTAGCACTTAGTATGCTGGATTGTTAATATTTGGTCTATTTAATGGTCCTCTTCACTAAACTACTTCTGAAGCCAGAGGACACTTCATTTATTACTTTTTTTTTTTTTGTAAATTGTGCACCCAACATGGGGCTTGAACTCACAACCCCAAGATCAAGAGTTGTATGCCATACCCACTAAGCCATCCAGGCACCCCAACCAGAGGACACCTTTTATCTCTCTACCCTTAGATCTTAGCTCAGTGTTTGGTACTTAAAGGCTTTTAATAGTGATGGCCAATCACCTGCAATACAGCTTTTTCCTTGTGTCATCAGTATAGTGGTGATGAAAAGACTGGTTTTCTTTCATAGTTTTTGAGAGATTTAAATTAAAAGAGGAATGTTTAAAAAAAGAAAAGATTGTTTTGCAGAAACTGGTAGCACTTAATGGGTTCAAAATCCCCATTGGACCATATGGGAGTAGACAGTGCTGCCTTTCAAGTACAACTAATAGGAGAACGTTTTCATAAATATGGGGGAGAAAATATTTGCAAACCATATAATGACAAAAAACTTGTATTCAGAATATATGAAAAACTCTCAAAACCTGACTGTGAATGAATAATCCAGTTAGGAAGTGGACAAAACAGACATTTCACTGAAGAGAATGTACAGATGGCATTTCCATGAGGAAAAAAATGTTCAACATCACTAGCTATTAGGTAAATGAAAATTAAAACCCCAATGAGATTTCACTACCTGTTTATCACAATGGCTAAAATAGAAAATAGTGACAATACCAAATGCTTACGAGGATGTAGAGAAACTAAAAACTGAGTCACTCATTGCTGGTGGGAATGTAAAATGGTGTAATCATTCTAGAAACTATTTTGACAGTTTCCTTAAAAATTATACATATAACTACTATACAACCCAGAAATTGCAATGATTAATTTTATGTGTATTTGCAATGGTTAACTTTATGTGTCAGTTTGGTCCATGGGATGCCCAGGTAACTGGACAAACTGGTAACTGGTAAAGCAGTTTACAGGTAACTGGTAAACATTATTTCTGGGCATGTCTGTAAGAGTGTTTCTGGAAGAGATTAGCATTCACATTAGTAGACTGAGTAAAGCAAGTGGCTCTCTCCAAAGTGTCATCTTAACCACTGAGGCCCTAAAGAGAGCAAAAAGGAGGAAGAAGAAAGAATTCCATCTCCTTGACTCATTTCTTGGGCTAGGACATTGGTCTGGTCTTGGACTGAGATTTACACCCATTGGTGGTGTTCTGGTTTTCAGGCCTTCAGATTTCAGCTGGAACGATACCACTAGCTTTCCTGGGTTCTCAGCTTGCAAACAGTAAATCATAGGACTTTTCTGTCTCCATAATCATGTGAGACAAATTCAAGGATTAGTTTTGAGTATTAAGATATAACAGAATTTGCCTGCTAGTAGGTTTGAGATTTGCTCGGAATCTGTTACCCCTTCTTTTCTATTTCCTTTTTGGAATGGGAATGTCTGTCCTGTGCCTGTCCCATCATTGTGTTTTGGAAGCATATGACTTAACTGGTTTCACAGCTTCATAGCTGGAGAGGAATTTTCCCTTAGGATGAATTTACCTCGGATCTTATCCGTATCTGACTTAAGCAGGCTCCACGCATGGGGCTTGAACTCACAACCCTGAGATCTTGATCTGAGTCAGACATTGAACTGCCTGAGCCACCCAGGTGCCCCCATCCATATCTGATTAGAGTATTTTTTTTTTAACGTTTATTTGTTTTTCTAGTGAGAGAGTATAAGTGGGAGAGAGAAAAGAGACAAAGGATCCAAAGTGGGTTTTGCGTTGACAACAGAAAGCCGGGTAAAGGGCTCAAACTCACAAACTCTGACATTATGACCTGAGCCACCCAGGAGCCCCTGATTTAGGTAATATTTAGATGAGATTTTGAACTTTAGATTTTAGACTTGGTGCTGGAATTAGTTAATACTTTTGGGGTTCTTGGGATGGAGTGAATGTATTTTGCATGTCAGAAAGGCGTGAATTTTGAGGGGACAGGAGCAGAATGCTATGAATGTTTGTGTCTCCTCCAAATTCATACGTGAAAGCTGTAATCCCATGATGATATTCGCAGGTAATTAGGTTTGGATGAGGCCATAATGACAGAGCCTCCATAATGGGCCTCGTGCCCTCATAAGGAGAGGGAGAGACCAGAGATCTCTCTCTTTGCACCAT